GAGCGGAGTAATAAAAGTATCGCGCGAAAACTGATATTCATATGTAGAGGACTTGAGTTGATCCCACTCAAAAAACTATGCATACTTGTCGTGAGTCCGATATTCATCTCCGTAACATTTAGTAACAGTGACGTACCGAAGAAATTGGAGCCTTTAAAGGAAAATAAAATTTTGTAAAAGGCTTTCATCGATAAACAGCTTTCTCACGCAGTCTTTTGAATTCAACAAATTCTTATAGGGTCAAGTGCATATACGTGACTTTATACCTGATATAATACGCGTCACACCGTTTAGTCACGTTTTTCACTAAGAAAAGTGATTGCACAACACCAGCAAAACATTTGTAAACGATAGCAAACGAGCGAACACAATGGCAACGAGAAGGATACGCTGAAAAGCTTTTGGTAGTCGTAAATGCGTATAGTTTGATTAGCGCGGCTGAAAACGTGGTTGCCGATTCGAGAAAATCGACGAAGAGTGAAAAATCGAGAGACTCTCGATGACTCGGCCCATTCTCGTCCTTGCGCTGCGAACGAGCGGAAAGTTCCCTTGAAGAGGGAATCGACAGCTGTCCCCAAAAGATTACACGCATGGACGACGACGAGCAGTGTAAAAGTCACGTGGAAAGACTTGTGCGTGTAGGCAGTAAAGGAAAATTACAAGAAGACAATAATACAGCACTGACGTCGACGTTAAGTACACAGGCAGGCGAGCAATCGCAGTCGCGAAACGGCACCGAGCAAAGAAAAGGAGCAAGTCGCGCGCGCGCGCGCACAACCACTAGGTCTTATCGATTAACGATGATCGCCGCCAAAGATAACGCCGGTGTATCGCGGCTTAATCTCTCTGTTAAGCGCGCTATTTGCCGGGCGCATACACGGGCGTCGGCGCGGCGCGAATGAGCAAAGGCGCTGCGCGCACAAGAAGAGCCGCGCGGAGCGTATTAAAAATGATTTGTTAAAGGCTTATAGGCGTGTGCGCGGCGCGCCGAGATAAAATACGGTTTAATGCGCGCGAGCGAGGCCCCGGCGAGCTGGACATTGGGATTTTTCAGGGCGACGCTCGAGGCGCCGTCTCCTGAGCCTCGGCGAGCGAGCGAGCGCCGCAGCGGAGCGGCCGAACCACAGAGGCGCCGCGGAGCAGCCGCCCTCGCTCGCCTCACTGACGACTTTGCTCGATGCGCGCGGCGGCGCCGGCGACGCGAGCAACTCGCAGGCGCGGGGCCTCATCGGAGAGTGTCCCCGCGCGGGCCTCGTTAATAACCTCGACTCCAGCGATCCTTCGCAACACGAGCCGCGCGCACGGGCGGTCCACCTGAATAAAGCACACTTGGCCCGGATACACGCGCGGAGGACCTTTTCCATGATATATCTCCGCTTTGGCGGCCTTTTTTTCCCCTCTCGTTCCGCCGCCGAACGCCGCTCCACTCGCGGCCGGCTATTCTCTCTCGGGGACTTGGACGACGCACTCGGACTCCCCTGCGGCTCGGCGGCGTGATCAATCCCACGTTCGACAGCCGCAGCACGCGCCTGACCATAAAGTATCCGTTAATTTGCGTGCGCCAACGCATTTACGAACGAGCCAATATTTGAGCGGCGCTCGACCGCGCGACAACTCTGAATTGTCGATGACTCGTCATCGCTGCCGTCATCCGCAGTGCGCGCGCGCGCGCGCGCGCCTTTTTTTTTTCTCGAACCGCGAGCCAACTGTGGCGAGCAGCGAGAGATGGCTAGGTAGCGAGCGAGATGTTGCCCGTTGAAAGCTCATCGCCTGCGCCTCGGCGCGGAAGCGGCCCCGAGTTATGGGAGCAGCCGCTGAAGCCACCGTCGAGTCGCGCCATCCTTCGCGAATCGCCGTCTAACTGTTCCGTAGCCGGGCGCTCGTCGTCGCGTCGCAGCGTATACCTATATACAAGTGTTTCTCTCGGCACGTTGCCGTGGCCTATGAAATATGGGAGCCTGGGCGGAGGCAATAATTTTGTAACCGGGCGACAAGTCCGCCGGCAGTTTTATGTACTGCCGGAGGACTTGTCGCCCGGTTCATTACGCTCGCTCTCTCTCTCTCTCTCTCTCTCTCTCTCTCTCTCTCTCTCTCTCTCTCTCGGCGAGCTCGGCGCGATGGCGGATCTTTTGCCGAGACCCCGCGGGGCAATTGCGCAACCATACGCCGGCGCGCAAGATGCACGTATACGTGAATTCATCGCAGCCCACGCACTCGCTTCGCCTCTCGCTTTTTCCAGCTGTTATCCAGCTGTTATCCAGCGTCTCTCCTCTCTCTCTCTCCTTTCTTCCTTTTTTCAAGAGTTCTCAAGGCCTATTAGGTTCATTATGTATCCTTCCGCTTTGTTCTCCCGCTGCGGCGCGCGTCCGACGCGAGCGCGCGGCCTCTTTCATTTCGCCTCTCGAATCATTGTCATTACGGGTCGACGGCGCCGCAGTTTCGCCGCATCGCCAAGCCGAAAGACGCGGCTCGAGGTACGCGCTCTCCGTCCTCATCAAGCGACTGCACCGCCGCCGCGAGATCGTCACGCCTGTCATTTTTAATGCCACTTTCTCACTTCCTCCTTCCCGGCCGCGCGCGCGCGCAGCCGCGAAAAATTGCACGCGCGAAAACCCCTCCCCCGCGTCGCTGTGCGACTGCGACTCGCTTTACGTAAGCCCTGTCCGTGCCTTTGCCACGTAAGCCGGTGCTTCTCGCACGGACCAATTCCGCTCTTGTCGCCCTTGAGCTTTCCGAGCTTCTGCAAAATTATTACCGACAATCTGTCATTTTGTGGCGGAAGCTCGCCCAGAAGACGATTGATTTCGAGTGAGCATCGAAACGTCCGCAAGATCACTCCATTACAGCTCGAAAAATCTGTCTACTTCCAATGCCATCACCGGGCCTATAAATAACTCGATTATCCGCTCCAAAAACGTTTAGCGAATAGAATGCGCCTTTTGATAGATTCATTTTCTGCGCTTACAGTTATTTACAGCCGTTAAGCCGACGAAAAAATCAGTTGATTATTGTAATTTAAAGCTCATAAAATATACGTCAAGCGCAAACTTTATTGCCTCACTTGGTACGAAATTTCAAAGCAACGTTTAATGACGTTTCTCTGTTTTATATGTCCGAGAAGCTGCTTGAGCTTAAATTCCTTGGTAATGTCATTATGCAAGTATATAGCTCATTCATTTTACTTTAAACCCACGCTAATTTTGACGTGTTCTTTTTTCTTCGCTTCACTCATGAATTCCGATATGCAAATTCAACTTGAGTTTCTGCGTCAAGTAATTCAGATTACCGTAAAAATTTCAGTCATCGAGGAAAACTCGATTGCTAAATCAAGTGCCAAGCGATCGACTTCGGGATCGAACCGTTCGTCAAATTTGGCAAAATACACCGCGCTCGAACGTAAAATAGAATTCCGCGACATTTTTCGTAAGCTCAGAGCGAACGAGCCGCGTGTATAGGTACAGCCTCACGTACAAACTGCTGGCGTGGGAGTAGTGCGGGCGATTACGGTCTTTTTTCTTTTTCAACGAGCCGAAACAAAAGCGAAGTTAATGCTCGCGCGGCGGTGAGTTTGACTAATATATGGTAGTAATCGGCGGACCGATGGGGCATCATTTGCATATGCATATTATTGGCAAATGAAAAAGTCAAATCGCACAGTGTGCGCCGAGAGGCTTGATGAGAACGCGCCGCGGCGGTGCGATCGAGAGAGCGAGAGAGGGAGCAGCCGCGGGAATTATTTGCATGGGAAATTTCGTGACGCGCGCGGCAGGGCAAAAAATAATTAGGAAAAGAAAGGAGGCGAAAAGAGAGGCAGGCGGGCTGGGCGCAGACGTACGCGTCGGAGGGGGTGGACGCGGGTGGTAGGTGTGTGGCTGCGCGTGCAGCAACGCGCCGATAAGCGCGGAGGCCGAGTCCGCGCTCGGGCCAATGGCGCGGCCCACTGGGCGGGGCCACGGGCAGGCGCCGCGACGGTGGGGGCAGCGCGACTCGCGACTCGCGTGGGCGCACTCGCGCGAGAGACTGCGCGGTCGCCTGGTGGGGGCATCGGGCAGCGACTACTGTGCATTTCCCACGTGCCCTGGGAACCCTTGCGGCGCTCTGCAAGCCACGACGCACCCGACTCTCGCGCGCGCGCTCTCTCTCTTTCTCTCTCTCTCTCTCTCTTCTTCGCCGTCCGAGCGGGCTTCGGCAACCGATTTCGCTCCTACGCCGCCAGAGAAGAAAGTCAACTTTCTTCCGTAACGTGCCTGCAATTGCGCGTCGCGCGCACAATTGACAATCGCGCGCCTGGTAATTGCACGCAGAGAGGCCGTGCAACAAAGAGCACCAAGGAATGCCCGCCGCGGAGTTTTTCCAAAGCGTGGGGCTAACCACCCCCGCAGCAGAGAGAGAGAGAGAGAGAGAGAAAGAGCGCGCGGAAAAAGAGGAGTCGGCAAGGGCCTCGGGGGGACGAGTGAAGGGGAGGCGGTACCACGGAGAGAGGCTGAGGCGGCGGCGGGGCAGCAGACGGCAGCAAGCAGTGTTCTCTCTCTCTCTCTCTCTCTCTCTCTCTCTCTCTCTCTCTCTCTCTCTCTCTCTCTCTCTCTCTCTCTCTCTCTGTCGGCCAGGACTCGTGAGTAAGCGCGCTGCTATTCGCCGCTTTTTCTCTCTCTCTCTCTCTCTCTCTCTCTCGGGTCGCTCGCGGATAAAAAGAGCTACTACCTTTCCCTCTCTCGGTCGCGCTCGGCCAAGTGGCGTGTGTGTGAGTGTGCGGTGGCGGCGCTTTACGGTGGCGGTGGCGGAGAGAGAGAAAGAGAGAGAGAGCGCGCGCGCGCGCGAGCGAGTTCGGTAGGGAGGTCCCCCCGGTCCTCCAACCAGCAGCGAGATCCGAGAGAGCGAGACGCACGACGTCGCGAGCGAGCGAGAGAGAGAGAGAGAGAGAGAGAGAGAGAGAGAGAGCGGCACGGCGGCGGCAACGGCAGCAAGCAGCAGCAGGCAGCAGCAGCAGTGAGCAGCTCCTCTCTCGCCCAAGCTTACTCTTAGACCTACCGTCCGCCGCCACGCTCTACTATTCCGGCTACCAGCCTACCCAGCGCAGCAGTCACGGCAGCACGGCGAGCAGCAGCGATCGACCAGCCCAACTTTTCTTCAGTCGACGCCGCGCACCCAAACCATCAAGACCTATACCCAGCTGGCACTGCTCTCACTCGCTCGCAAGCAGTCGCTCCTCTCCAGCCTTGTACCGGATCGTGTGCTCTGCTCTCGACTCTGCGTACGCTTTGCCGATCGCCACATAGTGACTTAGTGATCCGACAGGCTCGGTTTGCACCTGCCCCGGCACCCAGTGCGACTCATCGCCTCCATAGCGATCCACAGCGAGCGCTCGCGCAATTGCAACACGTAAGTAATACGCCGTTTGATCGGCGCCACCATTTGCCGGCACCGCGCCGAGCGGAGAGAGCTGCACGGTAGCGCGCGCGCCGGGAAAAAAAGAGAAAAGAAGAAAAGGGGAGGAGGGTGTGGTCTCTCGCGCGCGGACTGGCTGGAAACCGGTAGCCGGAGCACTTAGCGCAGGGCGGCGCACGGTAGCCGCGCGCGCTCGCTGCCGGTTGGCCCGTCGCGCGCGCGTACTCCAGTCCCCCGCGCGCGCTCGCGCTGCTCCTCTCGAGGGACCTTGCGCGTACCTGGCTGGCTGGCTGGCTCGCTCGCTCGCTCGCTCGCGGCCGCGCCGTCGATTCGGGAGCCGATTCGCTCTTCGGGGTCGAACGACGTCGCGTACGTGCGCGGCCCACGAGGCAGGAATCGGGTGACAATGCGTCGCGGGCGAACAACGGAAAGACTTTCTAACGCGGAAAGCGCGGCGTCGCCGCGTGAAAGACCGGGTGCAGCGAGGCGGAGCAAGGGCGAACAAAAAACGAGAGAGAGAGAGAGAGAGAGATGGAAGGAGAGCGCCGTCTGCTGCTGGCGCGCGTAGCACGGGGGCCCAATTAGGCCCCACTTGGAGGCCCCGTGCAACCGGGTTACGCCCCGAGCTGCGAGCGCACGCTTATTACTCGCTGCTCGCTCGCGCGTAACCGCGGTAGCTTCGCGCGCTCTACGAGTGCTCGCCTCCTTTTCTCTCGCGACGCGCGCGCTCTGTTTGCCTTGCGCGCCTCGCCGTCGTTCCCAGCTGCTTTTCCACGGGGCGCCCCGCCGTTCTCGCGTTTTACGGCGCAGCTGTTAATTCGGCCGCTCGCGCTTCACGCCCGCCGCGACTTTCGAGGAATTTCCCTTTCTCCGCGCGGCCCGCTTTATTGGCGATCGCGCGGGCCTCCTTTGGAAACAGCGATAAACTCGTTGTCGCGCTTTAACGACGTAGAGTTGACGGCGCGGCGAGCGACGTCTCCGCGTAGAATCGAAGGCTGTTTGCGCTCTGCGCCGCGGAGTAAAGAATAGTAGCTCGTTATCCCGCGTGCCAAAAAAAAAGTATCTTTTCGAGGGGCCGCGGAACTGAATGAGCGGCAAGACAAAAAAAAATTGGTGAAGAAGACATCGAGCGAGTCGTTTGTCGGGTTCTCTGTATAACGAGAGCGTTTTCCCGCGAGAGGTTATAACGAGGCACAAGCTCCCCGCGGCGAGTTAATGGCCGCTTTTTATATATACGCGCTAGATGAGCAGCGGTTTCGTTTCTTTCTTTCGCGTGTTTTCTCTCTCTCTTCACTTGAAATTCCTGCCGAGTGTCTGCGGACCGTTTAAATTTCTAAGTAAATATTGGACGAAAAAGCCGACCGCACCGCGGCTGATTAATAGTCGAATGGCTTATCCCCGTCGATTGCGTGGTTACGAAAGCGCCTCTGCCTCGCCTGTAACATGAGCGAAATGATTGGTCGCCGACGGGAGCTCATAACTTCTGTTTCGGCTGTCGCTCGACCGATAGTATAAATTCCCAAAGCTCTCTCTCGCGCGCGACGGCGGCGAGGCGGCGGCGAGGAGGCGTCGAATGCATAATTCATGCGAGTCCAATTGGCACGAGCGAGCGAGCGAGCGAGCGCGCAACTCGGACTACTTGAAACGCCAAAGCGGAGGAGAACATGCTGATTCGAGTATTGGTTGCAGGTGCCCGGAGAGCTGTGGTCGCGATCGAGCGCGAAAAGCGAGCTGTTGCCTGTGAGTGGAGGGAGTGAGAAGAAGAGCTGACGTGTGGGTGCGGTGGTCTCGCGCGCGCGCGCTCGAGAGAGAGAGAGTTGTATTTGTGCTATTGAGCGCGAGCGCCGAGAGGCGGCGTTGAGAATCAGCCAGCATGTTCGCGATAATGCCAATGGAGACAGAGGGCCACGGTAGGGAGTTCGGCCGTCGGCAAAAGATGCGCGCCAAATGCACGGTCGAGTTCGTCTGCAAATACTGCCAGCGCCGCTTCACCAAGCCCTACAACCTCATGATTCACGAGCGCAGCCACAAGGACGACGTCACCTTCACCTGCGAGGTCTGCGGCAAGTCGTTCAAGCGCCAGGACAATCTCAAACAGCACAGGTACTTGAAACGTCCATCTTAAGCTCCTCTTCGCGATCGCTTTTCTATCCCCGACGTCCGCGCGCGACCTCCATCTCGTCCAACATATGGCGCGCGCGGCTTTGCGCGTCGTCGCGCGTCCAAAAGGAAGTCGTCGCGCGTTCGATAATGGCGCGGGCGAGGTATCGATACGCGAGATACCTGTATCCATGTACGTGCAAGCTACGAGCAGCAGCGGCAGCAGCAACAGCACGAGACTTATCCTACTCGCGAGAAAGAAAAACCGGTTTGTCAACTCGGGCGCCGCGCTTCGTCGTTTTTCACGCTGCACTCGCGGCTTCCTCCTTCTGCTTTTATTGTCCGCCGAGCGCGCGATCGCGCGACAATTAAAAATGCACGAGCATTGTGTGCGCGCGCGCGCGAAGTGTCCTCGAGTCTCGCGCGACACGTATTTCAGTTGGCCAAGCCACGGATATTTATCGCGGCGAGCGCGCGTCGCGCCTGGGCTTCCTTCTGGACCACCTCGTCGATCTGATATTTCCACGCTCTTAGCTCTTGTCGCTTGGTCACTTTGGCGCGACGCGTTATTGATGTGCGGCGCCGTACAAGCTCGGCGTCGATCGCCTCGGAACATAGCGCTTTGCTCGTCTCGTAAACTGATCACGCGACAGATATCGGAAAATATGCATAGAATTAAGTGGTAACACGATGTCCTCGTTCTCAGTAGCACTCGATTACGTGGACTTGGATTAGAAGTGTCTTTGTGCGCGGGCACCAATCGCGGATTACATAAGTGTATCGGCGCTGAGAACATGGACGAAATTAACAGGCTGCACGAAAAAAAAAATTTAATCTATACGTACATACACACATTCCTATATATTAATGACTGTAATATAGCGAAAATAACGTACTTATATCTCTTGGAATGATTAGCATGAGAAAAACACAATAACACTTGTACACTCACACAATTAGATTTAATGGCGTTGTACGCGCGAATATTCCATGCCGTACGGCATTACGTGTCGGAAAAGCGTCGCGCGCGGATCAAGAAACAGAGAGCTAGAAACAACAATTACATCGAACGTGTATTTTCGGTACGGTAATCAGACGTGATTTCCTCGAAAAGATTAGCTTGCGAGCAGTCAAGCATCACCTTCTCTCGCATTACCTTGGTAAAACAATTTTTTTTTTCAATAACCGCAGGATCGAACTACATAATTGCTCGACAATTACTTACTCATCGGTATGCCGCGCGCGATGCAGCTGGTCTCGGGATTTTCGGTTCGAAAACGAGGCACCGCTAAGAAAAATGTCAAAGTTGAACGTCGGCCGAGCGAGCGAACAATTGAGGGTGGAATAATTGATTGAGCGAGCCGGCCGCCAGTAAATCTCGTTGTAAACGGTAGTTCGGAATAATCTCGGCGGCGCGGCCATTAAAAAACATTGAACGAGCGAGTGCGGTTGCGCGCGCGCAGCATTGAAAATGGTCTAAAATTGATCGTCTCGTCTCGTCGCAAATCACCGGGTTACTGGGATGAGCGCGGGGCTGTGGCCTCGCTCGCGGCGTACACACCGACACGCGCGCGTACGCACGCACAGGATAATACGTGCCGAGAGAAGCTCAGAGATGATATTTTCCGTCGCCGGGAGACTTCGCCTATAAATCAGCGACGGGATAACGCGTGCAGATCGTATAACGAGCGCGCGAAGCGTTAAAAGTGCAAAAGCTGCATCAAGTATACGCACACTCTCACAGTCACACACAGCCAGATACACGTCATTTTTTTTGTTCTTTCCCCTATTTTTTTAGTATGAGAGTATCTCTGTCTCTGTCTCCTTCGGAGTCAAATGCATTTTAACCTTGTGTGTAATGGCGGTGGTCTTGTTTTTTCTCTTCTGTTGTAGATGTGGGTGGCGGTGAGCGGGAGCTCGCTCTCTGTCTCTCTTCCCCCCTTCCGGGACACGTCTACCAATGCGCTCGCGCCCATTAACGAAAAATATATTCATATAAAAAAAAAAACAAAAAAAAAAAAACAAAGAAAAAGAAAAAAAAGCAGAGCAGTTCGATTGTGATCCCTCAGATCCACACGCCCGACACTATATTCTATATATCCGCTTAAAACATTTTTCATGAAAGCTTTTGTTCGTTTATTGTTTTTCAGCTTTCGCTTACAGCCCGCCGCGTCGCTTTGTCTCTTTATTATTACTGTTTGTCCATTGTCGGGCGCGACGCGTTGAATTTACTTTAATTTTTTTTGTTAACACTTTTTGCCTTATTTTGTCTGCCTCTGCTTTGATAGCCCCACTAGACTTTGTACCCAGCATGCCTGCATTCTCTATAATCACTAACACGGCTATATTATTATAAACATTTGGAATTTATTATTATTATTATTTTTTTTTTTTTGAGAGAGAGAAAACGTGCACTCGACTGCGTGAATTTATAATACTTATATGATAATAATGATGGCGAAACTTGACAAAAGCTACGCCGAGTCCCCGGAGAGCTTGCAAGAGTGCTACGGCCGTAAACGAGCGCACATGTATGACTTCGACTCGACTGTGATATTTTGTTGTTTTCTTGTTTTGTTTGAACTGACTGTGTTATTAAAAAATCGAAGATCTCTGGTTCGCAAGTGTATATATGGTAGCGTTCGTGGCTCGTCACTTTAGCAATGCCTACGGGTGGAAAGCTTTTTTTACAACAATAATCGTCTTTTCGCCATAACTTGGGTGATGGGTTCATTAGCACACAGTCTTTTTTAAGAATAAAGCGTAATTTCTAAATGAAAAAAAAAGATGCCGGCACATCCTCTGACCTCTGGTTTTGGCACGATCTCTGTTCCAGGAGCATACATTCCGTTCCCTACAAGGGTTCCAACGGCTACACTAATGGCTATTCGAATGGCTACTCTAGGTACTAGAGGCCACGAGGCCAACGATTCGCCAGTGTCCCTCCTTTCCCCTTTCCACACACAAAGTCTCTTTCCCCTCCCTTGATATTTTCCCTCGCAAAAAGAAATTGTAGATTTTTTCCACATAGCACGTCCCAATCATTTCAATTTTCTCATTTTGATCCCCTCCACAATGATGTATGTTCGTCCGCTGTTGTTTGTCGTCACGTTGGACACGCACAGACGATACTGTAAAACGCTATTTAGGTACCGGCGCTGATTGACGCGGGACCTTTTTCTCCGTTTGAAACAGAATTTTTTTAACTCCCGCGCTCTCGCTAGTCCAGCAGTCCCTCATTTTCTGTTTCTCTCTTCTCTCTCTCTCTCTCTCTCTCTCTTTCTCGTATCTGAAGGATTCATTCCGCGTTCTATCGTCTTTCTTTCGTTCTGCCTTTTCAATTTCTCGCTGCAACATCATCAGCATCATCACCACATCATTATCACACTCCAGTCCCGCATAAAAAAGCATAATTGCACACGCAAACATCCCGCAAATAAAGCTCTGTCCCGCACACAAACAAGCAGACTGGCCTCACTGAAGACGATCAAAAGAGCGAGCATCCAGAAGAAGAAGCGAAGGTCCGTAGCCAGGAAGGAAGGACAAAAAGAAAGATGCGAGAACGAGCTGCGTAACCTCGGGCACCCGGTCCCTCGGCGAAATTGGACTGTGTAATAACCGACTAGCGGCTACCGGGCTTAACGCATGTTCTCCTTTCTCATTCTCTTGCCCGGCTACCGGAGCACACGCTAAAGCCACGCCCAGCCCTCCGGCGACACTGTGTGCAGCGGTGGCGGCGGCGGCAGCAACAGCGGCAGCAGCAGCAGGGAGGTGGGCCAGCTGCTATACATCCGACGTGCGGCTTGCGAAACTTTTCGCCGAGAGCCAGCCAGCCGACGACAAGCTCATTTGTGCTGCATGCGCGCTCCGGCGAACGTGACGCGGGGCGACGGCGCGCGCGAGCGAGCCGTGCCGCCAATAGTTATCAATTGCATTCCATCGTTCGGCGCGCGAGTTGATTTCGCGGCGTGTAACGAGCTCGAGTTTCAAAATCTCGCGCCGTGAGAGAAAAAAAAAACAAAGCAAGAGATCGATATTGGCCGAGCGTTGAAGACCTTGGCGGACGATTCAAGAGAAATTCACTTCGTATAGTTGCTTATATACGGAGTTGACAGTTTTTCGCAATGATCCCACGCCTTGAAATTTTGAAGCTCGAAGATCGGCGAAAAGCGGGCGAGCGAGGGCGGCCTGGCGCACCGATCGACGCGGGTCGCGACGACCACCCGCCGAAACTGGATCCGCGCGACAGGACTAGGAGCGAGAGGATCGGCTTTCGACCGGCGGCGAGGTACCGACTACGACACGCGCTGCGGCGGCTCTGCGGCCTCTCGAACGCAGTTGTCGAGAGCGTGCTTTCATTGTAATGGCTCATTGCGGCGCAAAGTTCACATGCCGCATCGCGTGACCAGCGCATACCTACGTCGCTCCGCCTGGCTTTTCGATAATATGTTCGTCCGGTCTCTATTCTAACGCAAAATCCCTTCTCTTGTCTCTTCTTTCCTCTAAACTTTCAAAACACATGAGACTGCAGTCGCGCTTTGTACATAGCTTAACGTATTACGGCGTTTTTAATATTATTATTATTATTATATTATTTTATTATTATTATTATTTTTATTATTATTATTATTATTATTAATATTATTATATTATAAATAAACTAGGACATCACGAGTATAAAATTTATATAATATTATGATTAATTTTATAAAAATTATGGTCGGATAGTCCTTTTATAGTCAAGACGTAGCTACTCGACGTATAGGCTGAGCCGAAAAGAAAATATTGAAAGTATATACAAATGTACGCGTCTTGCTGTACCTAGTACTAGTACTACATTAGAAGTGATAATCAAAATTGCGCGATTCCCAGCTGATAAATTAATCCCTATTATAATGCGTAATCCAACGTGTCTCTATCGCTTTAGCTTTTGTACCAGCTGATAAAAAAACAACGCCAAAGCGTTCAGCATGAAAGAATTTTCGTCATCCTTTTCGAACGTTACTACAAATATTATTTACATGCACTGCGTGTATGCGAAAGCCGCGTACGTCCGACGACTGATGAGATCATGTAGCGCTATCGTATAAAACGAAATAAAGTAAAAGAAGCTTTAAAAAGAACGAATTTTAGAACGTCAGCAACGACGATAACGATCTTTGTGTTTTGTCATCGTTATCATCGAGGCGCACTGCACAATCGAGGAATGACGCCAATGTACTGTGGATTCGTCCACCAATTAAGCCGATCGACCAATAAAAATTCGCCAAGTCGTAGAACACTTGGAGCTTGATTACTTTATTGTTGACCTTATCTCGAATACCTTTTATTTCCCCTCATCCTGCGTGCACATGACCATTATTTCGGTAATAAAATTATTTATAAGATTTTTTCATGACAAGTTATTTCAAGTTGTCGGTCGACTGCAGCGTCGCTTGCTTCTCCGAGTCAGGTGAACTCACAAGCAGAGCTGTTATGCTGAAATTGAAGCCGCGCGCGAGTCTCTGCATTAAGATCGCAAATGCCCAGGTAAACTACAGAGGGTGCATCCTCGCAGAGCGAGACAATGAGAGGACACAACGGGAGGGTAGAGAGCAGAAGACAATGCACAAGGAGAAGAACAATACGGCAATTTGCTGATCTGCATGCGAGATTCTCGAGTGCAGAAGTGCAGCGCAGTCGGCCAACTTTCTCCTCCGTGCGCGCGCCGCCGCCGCCGCCGCCGCGCGGCTTTGATGGGCGAAGTGCAAACTCATATACACGCGCTCACCTCGTCCGTATTATCTGCACCGACGTGGCGGCGGCGCGGCGAGACTGCTGCTGTTGCTGCTGCTGCGGCTGCCGTCGCCGCCGTCCAAGCCCCGCGCCGCGCGCCGCGCGCTTGTTCGACAACTCGTTTCAATCAGTGTTGCATGCAAATCACCCGTGTGCTCTCCGAGTACCTATTATACTTTGCTTATGCACGTCTCTAAATCTCGCGCCGAGTAAAACAAACAAACGCGAGAGCCGAATACAATAACTCCGTGGTTTTTACGAGCGTCGATGCGAACGCTCGGCTCGCGCGAGCAGCAGCTTTCAATGAGACCTCTTTCCAGCACCTCGCCTACTTGGGTACTTTTTAGCCGCTACACTCAATAAATTAACGGGATCTGCGAGCCGCGATTGCAGCTCGAGCAGCTGCTTCGATTGTGTTCCAACTAATCGCGCGTGCTCACAGACAACTTGGCTCGATGCTCGTTCAACTTTCATTTCGTGTAAATCGCAATGAAAAGGGCCGCGAATACAATCTGAGTCTCTTGCCGCTTTACCTCGGCACCTTGCCATTCATCAAATTGGTGAATAAGTGCGCGTAGTACCGAGTTTCGATATGATATCTCTATTAAAATGTGAAGATACGCCATTGACAAGATGCTAACAACTAATATAATATATTAATTATTATCGGGACACGTGCGCAAGCCTATTTTATATAACTCACTTGACGGCCTTACGTAATTACATCTCGTACGGGCTGCAGATGCATTGCTCGTTAAAAGATTCGTTATAATCCACTGGCGTTCGCGCGGTTTCTCCGACTCGCCACAATCGCGCATAAAATACAATAATGGGCATAATCGCCGCGTGTGTTTCTAATTGCACGTTATGCTCCCGCGCAGTCTGAACACTGTTGGTCAATTTGTCGGCGACACGGCAGGCCCGTGCTCCACGGTCGCACGTGTCGCTGCAACTGGAAAGAGCAAGTGGACAACGGAGACGGAAGATCGGTCGGGCGAATGGGGCGCACCCGTCAGAGCTCGCACGCGCGTCGTAAAGGCGTCGAGCGAGCGCGTAACAGCAGCGAGCGCGCTCGAGCGACGAGGGGAGGCGGCGTGCGGCTCTCACCTCCGCGGGCGATAGTCGTGAGCGCAATGCCACCGTGAGGAAATATCGCGTTTTCTCGAGAAAATATCGCTCTCGTCTTTATTTGACGGCTGCGGAGGATGGAGCGAGCCGGGCAACTCGATTATTTTACAGCTTGTAATTTACCTTGAGCAAACATAGCTTTAACGCCGCGGCCCGAGACAATGACCATCAATCAATGGGATATATATGTATATATGCCACGTACACGGCAGAATTTCGCGAACTTTGCGAAACTGAGGCGAAGGAAGGGCTGCGCTGCTCCCATATAAGAAGCTTTTATTAAAGTGACGCAACAGACTGCCGGAATCGTTCGAGCCTGAGATCCTTCAATATCCACCGGCTTATCTCGGCGTTTACTTATAGGCAGCTCGCGCGCGCATACTCGATGCATCATTTCCATTAATTATGTTACCTCGGCCGCGCGCCACACCGAGAAAGAGTAAATACTCGCGCGCGCCCGCGTCTCAGTGTGTACGCACACGTAAATGGAACATCAATTAACGTCTCGCGCTACAAAGTTATTCCGAGTCTATCTATGCCTGATTTACGGGCCGCGCGCGCGGGCTCACGCTCCGCCGGCGCATTGCGTAACTTCGATCTTGGGCGCCGAAAAAATCCGCCCCGTATATGTATATACATATCTATATACAAGTGCGCAACTCTCGCCCTCGCTGTCGAAACACACCGTCGTTTCAATTAGCCTCGCAGCCGAGGCAGTGATGGTTTCGCTCTCGCCTCCTCCTCCTCCTCCTGCCTCTCTCGTCTGCGTTTTTCGGTGAAAGCGCCACTGCCCGCCGAGGCGAGCTTTCACGAGAACATCGCACGCGGAGCAGACGACGCACGCGCGATCGGGATAAAGACAGCCACCGGCTCGATCGATCTCGGCGTGGAAAATCGCAGACAATGCTTATCAATAGAATGGAACAATGGGAAGATAGAAGGAACAGGCGTAGTGCTCCTTGACGCCACTACGACATGTCGAGTTGCAGTCTCCGCTGATCGATTAGTCGCGCGCAGTTTCGGTGCACTTGGAGTCCCAGCTGTAGCGGCGAGCGCGCCGTGCGAGCTCGAGATGGGGCAAAGGGTCGGCGGCAGCCACCGGTCGAAAACGGTATACAGCGCTGGAGAAAGATTGCTCGCGAGCCCCAAGGCGAGCACGAGTTTATGTACTTCGGCCTCGTCGGCTTTCTCTGCGGCGCGAAATTCGTGGCGGCGGGCTATCTACGAGCTCGCGGCCGGGTCGAGAGCTCGCCGTGCCTTTCACCCAAATCGTCGTGACAATGCCGCGCTACCGACGCTCCCCTCGCGTGGACAACGAGTCGTCGCGCCGCGACCGTAATAAGCATAAGCGCTGCTCGCCGCTGGTTCTCATCACGCGCCGACTGTCCATTCGTAAATTGTCGAGCGCCGCTTCCGTCTGAGACACACGCGAAATTCGATATGTCGAGCGTTCCCCGCGTCGCTTCTTCAATGCCGAATGTGCTCCCGAGCTAACCTAATAAACGCGCGATTTACGACCTTTTCGGACGGCCATTACCAAGCTCGCTGGCTAATAAAAATGATGGCTTTATTTATAATCTCTTAAAAAATTATTCAGCATTTCTCAGCTCTGTGTGCCTCTCTCTCTCTCTCTCGATATTTGAGTTATAAACTTTGAGCGTTCCCATTGAATATTTTCGCAGTCGTAAATGCCGGTTCACCGCCGCGCGCCGTGGGACTAAATATTCAATGATAGTCGATGTGCTTCCTTGATTTTTTTTACGGACTATTGAATCACTGTTGACAAGTATGATGAAACTCGGAGCTTCGTCCGGGAAACGAAGCTTCTCCGCTATATTTCCGATACGTTTCCGACGCTCATCGGCGCTCGGCTGTACGAATTGACAATTAAGCAGCACTTTTTCGAAGCAGTTGGCTCGAACGAGCATGCCGATGACATTGTCGAACGATCTATAAATTAGCAAGCGAGCGCGAGCATCTTTGTCCCAGCGCTCGCGAATGTCCCGAGAGAGAGAGAGAGAGAGAGAGAGAGAGAGAGAGAGAGAGACAAGGCACAAGCATTTCGATGCAGACGAGAGAGGCGTCTAGTTTCCACATTCTTTCATCCCGCGCGTCGCCGTGCGCATAATCTGTGCAGCATTTTTCGCCGGAGAGAATGTTATATGCAAATCGCCACGGAGCAAGTCGCTTGAATTGAGATAAGCCAAAGCGAGGAATCCGTCCCCGAGTTCGGATGCTGCCGCGGAGAAACGAGAGATAGAAAGGGACCGCGCGCGGTTGCCGGTGAAGTCACCCGTATCCGAAATCACCCCTCCCTCACCCGCCCGAGTATATATACGTTGTGCGACGTCGCGAATGAATGTAGCACACACTCGACGGAAACTCGAGACGGACAAGGACGAAACGCGCGGACCTGCAGCGACACATTTTACCGCGCAACCTTCATTCGCCACGCTTTCGTCCGTCCGTCCGTCCGCGTCTCCCTCGTAAAGTACGGAGTACCACCATCCTCATGTCGTCTTTCTTGCCTTGACGCTGTGTTCCCGCTCCGGCGAAGGAAAACGTCCGTGTTGCGCAACCGAGCGTTTTCATAAACGTGTCGAACTCCGAGGACCGACGAAAAGAGGACGGTACCGGCCGGCTCGGCCTCGGCGACAAAATCGCGTAGCAATGTATTCCGCAAGCTTTCTCGTAGTTCTCCGATCCTTGCGTAACCTGCGAAAGCCATTGGACTCGGGCAGAAGGATAAGCAGAGCCGAGTTCCCCAGGCGTGAAATTCCAGGTCATCTCATAGGATTTACTCTCGCACACGATCAACTGATGCATATAAACTCGAATGCATGTGTGTATACCGCAAGCCGATTCGCCTCGATCTATAAATTACGAAAGAGGCGCGAGCCGAGAAAGCATTCGCGCCACCGCCTCCGCCAGCGCGGCAATCGTTTCTCCGGCTAAGAAGAAGTGTCCGCCTCGCGGCGCACACTGCCACCGTAATAACGACAATTATTTACAGCGCTGCCGCATCGACATTGACATTTAGAGCTTGCGCGCGGATACCGTTTTTACGCGCGCTCGGGTGGTCTCGCGAGCGCGCGCTCTGCCGATTGCCCCTGGATTAGCCGGAGCGTCGACGGCGCCCGCAGATGCCGACATCGCGCGGACTCCGCCGATTCCCATGCTACTTATCTGTGCCGCCACCGCGGCTCGTTTGCATATTCCGTAGCCGGTGGTGCGCTGTCCGCGAGATTTGTAAGTGGCACGAGGCGCGCGCGCCGCCCCGCCGCCGCCGCCGCGAACAGTTATGCGTTTAGCTTGCACTTTCTTCATCTTTTTCCTCGGCGCGTGAAAACTTCTTTGATGCCTGGCA